GTGTGTATATATATATATATATATATATTTTTTTTTTTTGAATTATCATCCAGCCCTATTTTTCATTCAACCAGCAAGTTTACTTTTCAATTTCAGAACGTCAAGGACTACAATTGGACCGTGAGTTTGGTTTTATTCAAGTGAACACAGGATCAATCGGGAATAATCAGTGGACAATCCTAAAACCCACAATAAGGACATCCTGTCGCAACAGCTGTGGTTCAATGCAGGTGAGCATTCTGAGAAGCAGGTCCATGATGGCTGAGGTCCCTATGTGTTTGATCATCAGGTCTACAAAGTCCTCCCTCTTCCGGAGAAACTCCACGATCTAAACACACAAAAAACATCACATTTGGCTGGGCCCCGACGCTCTGTCACAACACCCATCTCATCATTTTCCCAAATGCTCACCTGTTCAGGTTTGCGTCCTATAAGAATAGACAAGACCTTAGAGAAGAAGCTGGCCAGAAGTGGATTAAGAGGTGGCTGGTTCTGGAGAAAGCCGTACAATTTCACCAGCAGTTTTTCATCTTCCACTAATCTGTCGTTAATTTGGCTCACATCTGACGTGAGCAGCTCACATGATATGTTGGGATACCTGTTAAAAAAAAAGAAAGTTTAAAAAAAAACCAAACAAACAAACAAAACAATTTACAGGGTCCATTTTGACAGTAAAATAAGTCAAGAGCCATGCCCTGAAAACACACATAGCAAAGGCAAAAGTATGGAGTAAGGTTAAAAAAAATATCTGAACGTTTAGAACTGGTATGATAGAGCAGGAAATGAAATATATTAGATAAATGAAAACTATAAATAAAACAGACTTGGGCTCTGTTCAGACAAAAAAAAAAAGCACTGAAACAAATCCTAGCACATTCAGCATTTCATACAACCACACATCTATGGTTATATGACATGGCATGAGATGTGGGACATGACATAAGATGTCTTTTAGGCGAAGAAAAAAAAGTAGTGTGTTTCCGGTAACCCGACCGACCGAGAATTTCTACGTCGTAAAAAAACTTTACGGTCGGCATTTTTTTCAAACAACCCTCTACATTTTTGTGTAGAGGGTTTACATCAGTGCAAACTCTCGCGATATTCACGTTGAGCGCGTGCGTCGTTTGCCCTGTCGTCTGTCAACAACATTGAATCATGGCGGCGACCGCGATCGCCGACGACAGTTTAAACCGCGTTTTCTGTGTTACAGTCGCATGCTCGCACCGTAATGTTTAGAAAATAGCATCCATTGATTTATCGAAAAAATTCAGCGAACTATTTGATGAACACCTCGGGCCGAGTAAAAACCGAGGGTGGAGGAGGACGGCGGCGGAGGCGGCGGCGCGCCCCAGCCCCCCGAGTCCGGAGCGGGGAGAAAACTAA